TCCATTCTCTAGTGCACCTAGTTTTTGCCTCCCTACACCTTTGGGTGAACCAAGGTCTCATTCTGTTCTTCCCATTATTTCTATTTCCCTTGGGAACAAACCTCTCCTCTTCCTCCTTGCATTTTGTTGCCACATAGTCCATTTCTTGTACTGGTTTTCCTGTCAGTTCCCTCTCCCACTGAATGTCTTGCAGGAAGTTCCTCATGCCTGAGTAGTTCCCCCTTTGGCTCAGTGGCCTGTCATTTTCCCTTCTTGGCTTTCCCTGGGCTCTGCTGTGGTCTGTTAGGGCCTCCACATATAGCTTAGCTCTTTCATTTACTACAGCCTCCTCTGATAGAGCTTCTGCATGCAATTTTGCTCCTTCTTTCCCTACAGTCCCCCTATTTGTGACTGAGGTAGCAGTCTCTGATGTCATTCCCAAAATGTTCTTTAGTTCTTTAGGCTGTTTCAGATTTTTCAGTTCCTCTTCTAAACTCTGTATCCTAGCCTCTGCTGCTTTGGCTAGCACCTCCCACTTCCTGCTTTCCATATCTATCCTCTCTTCCATTCTCATGCTAAGTTCTTCTAATTTCTTTTCCCATTCATGTTCCCTTTTTATGAGCTCTGCTGCCCAATCTTTCTTTGCAGATTCCTCCTCCTGTCCCTTGGTTTTCCTTCCTGCTCTCTGGCAACCCATTTTTGTTTTATTTTGATTGCCTCAGAGTGGGAAACCTATGTAATTCTTTGTGTTAGGTTAGTAGTGTGTTTGTCAGAGTGTGGGGGGGGGGAAGTAGAGGAGGAACTGTGGCTATGTGGGAGAGGGGTGGGGAGGGGGATTTAGGGGGGAATATGGAGAGTGGGAAGGAGGGAGAAGCAAGTGGGTGAATGGGAGAAGGATCAGGGGAAGGACGGAGAGGTAGAGGGAGGGGTGGGATCAGGGGAAGGAGTGAGATGTTGGTGGGGGAGGGGGGAGTGTATGTGTGAGTCTGTATATGTGTGTGTAATTATGTGTGGAATTGTGTGGGTTTATTATGTGTCTGAAAAGTAGGTGAATTGTGCGTTGGAGTGTAATGTGGAGTCTCAATGGTCGCTTACCTGACCACAACCTCTTGTGACCTGATCCCCACCCTCCTGGGACTTGACCCCACACCTACTTACAATATTGCCCTTTATGCTTGTTCTGCCACCTAGCTTATAGTAACTTACTCGCCTTGTTCAATGGATTACCAATTGCTATTCGTGCTATGAGAGTTGGACCATTCACAATCAGCGTGGCGGTTAATTGGAACCTGAAACCCCACACCCATACAACCCCTCATAGGTGAATACAGTACTTGCAATGCAGCTGTAGCAGCCTGTAGATTGTCCAGCTCGATGAGACGTCCTGGCGTAGATCCACCTCAATTTCTTCTCGTTATATAATGTACCCTATTCACTGTATTTCTCTCACTGGTCACACGATTGTTTCACTTTATTGTCTTTCTTGGGTGACACGTGGCAACGTCGCCTGCCATGCCCGCTCTGACTGCGCACCACGTTTTACTTTCTAGATCACTTACAAAATTGTGGCTCTCCCTACACTTATGTGGCTCAGGCAGATTATAAATCGCTTCAAGGAATTATTCACTACCCTAGCACACTTAGCTACCCTTCAGATCACTTGGGTAGCCCTCGAAAACACTTACATTCGCGGAGCACGGAAGGCGTGACTCGCGCACGCACTGACGAGACTGTGTGTGTACTCACCTAATTGTGGTTGCAGGGGTCGAGACTCAGCTCCTGGCCCAGTCCCTGGACCCATTATGTACCTCTGTAATCTGTAAATATCTTTGTAACTTGTCATAATTGTGACCAGACCTACCTGGAGTTCATTACCTTTGTAAATTGTGACTTCATTACCTTTGTAAATTGTGAGTTCATTACCTTTGTAATTGTGAGTTCGTTACCTCTGTAACTTGCTCAGCTATCAAAACTTTGGAATCCAGTCCCTGGACCCATTATGTACCTCTGTAATCTTTTGATTTTGACTACCGCCCACAGGATGGGTATGGGGTGCATAATAAACATATTAAACTGAATACGTAATGCTGGAGAAACCACCGATATTTCGGGTAAACTCACACCTCCGTCTGCCACCATATTCAAAGATCGTCTCCAGCCTCCTCAGCCAGGGTATGCTCCTTGTGTCGGAATGTAGTTGCTATCTCACATTACTAAAATTAATTTATAGACAACTCCAAGTCTATAACCGAGGAATTCTACTTAATTACCATATAGAATTTACTTCGTGTGACGTAATTTTCGTCACACGAAAAAGTGCGAATAATTTGACAGATGTAACATGAAACTCTAACCAACTCAACTTCCCTACTGGCTGGAATTAATATTCATTGTTTTTACATTAACTTACATCAGTCAAGGGGAGAGCACTGTGTTGGCGTCTCATGACTTGTAGCAGAGCTATTTTGACTGGTCTGTACCTGGTTACCTGGAGGTTATTCCGGGGATCAACGCCCCCGCTGCCCGGTCCATGACCAGGCCTCCCGATGGATCAGGGCCTGATCAACTAGGCTGTTACTGCTGGCCGCACTTAGTCCAACGTACGAGCCACAGCCCGGCTGATCCAGCACTGACTTTAGGTATCTGTCCAGCTCTCTCTTGAAGGCAGTCAGGGGTTTATTGGTAATTCCCCTAATGCTTAATGGGAGGCTGTTGAACAGTCTTGGGCCCCGGAAACTTATGGTGTTTTCCCTTAGTGTACCAATGGAGCCCCTACTTTTTATTGGGGGCATTTTGCATCGCCTGCCCAGTCTTTTACTTTCGTAGGGAGTGATTTCTGTGTGCAGATTCGGGACCATTCCTTCCAAGATTTTCCAAGTGTAGATTATGATATATCTCTCCCTCCTGCGTTCCAACGAGTACAAGTCAGGTGCTTCCAAGCGTTCCCAGTAGTTAAGGTGCTTGACAGAACTTATACGTGCAGTAAAGGATCTCTGTACACTCTCTAGATCTGGGATTTCACCTGCTTTGAATAGAGATGTTGATGTACAGCAGTATCCCAGCCTAGAGAGAACAAGTGATTTGAAAAGGATCATCATTGGCTTGGCATCTCTCGGTTTGAACGTTCTCATTATCCATCCTATCATTTTCTTTGCAAGTGCGATCGTGGCACTGTTGTGATCCTTGAAAGTGAGATCCTCAGACATTACTACTCCCAGGTCCCTTACATTATTTTTCCGCTCTACTGTATGGCCAGAGTTTGTAGTATACTCTGTTCTAGTTATTATCTCCTCCAGTTTTCCATAACGGAGTAGTTGCAATTTGTCCTCATTGAGCATCATATTGTTTACCGTTGCCCACTGGAAAACTTTGTTTATATCTTCTTGGAGTTTAACCGCGTCCTCAGCAGATGACAGCCTCATGCAGATCCTAGTATCATCCATAAAGGATGATACGGTGCTGTGATGTATATCTCTGTCTATGTCTGATATGAGGATAAGGAATAAGATGGGGGCGAGTACTGTGCCTTGTGAAACAGAGCTCTTCACTATGGCAGCCTCCGATTTAACTCTGTTGACCACTACTCTTTGTGTTCGATTTGTTAGGAAGTTGAAGATCCATCTCCCCACTTTCCCAGTTATTCCTTTAGCACGTATTTTATGGGCTATTACGCCATGATCGCATTTGTCAAATGCTTTTGCAAAGTCTGTGTATATTACATCTGCATTCTGGTTTTCTTCCAGCGCATCCAAGGCCATATCATAGTGATCCAGTAGTTGTGAGAGGCAGGAGCGACCTGCCCTGAACCCATGTTGCCCTGGATTGTGCAGATTTTGGGAATCCAGGTGATTTGCAATCCTGCTTCTTAGCACTCTTTCAAAGATTTTTATGATGTGGGACGTCAGAACTATTGGTCTATAGTTCTTAGCTAATGCTTTGCTGCCACCTTTATGGAGTGGGGCTATATCCGTTGTTTTAAGTGACTGTGGAATTTCACCCATGTCCAAGCTCCTCCTCCATAGTGTACTTAGGGCACGCGAGAGGGGTTTCTTGCAGTTCTTAATGAAAACAGAGTTCCACGAGTCTGGGCCCGGGGCTGAGTGCATAGGCATGTTGTCAATGGCTTTTTCGAAATCTATCGGAGTTAGGGTAATGTCGGAAATCTGGCATACATTTATGGAGTTTTGAGGCTCATTCATGAAGAAATCATTTGGGTCGTCGATCCTCAGACCTCAGACTGTATTAGTTAGATTTATCACAGATCTTAATACACATTCTACAATAATATAATAACAATGCATAATTTTACTATCAAACTTAAGAAAATTCATTGGTTATATGACATAAAAATAGATACAGAATGCATGTGAAAACTGAATTTTTCCACATACGTGTATATGCTATTTCCTCTCAAATTACCCCAGCCTTTATCACCGCTCTTAGTTTTATTACCACGGGAGGGGGGGAGGGGGGAAAGGAGGGGGGTGGAGCTGGAAAGGGGACGGAGGGGGGGGGGAAGGATGGGGGGTAGATGGTTGTATAGAGAAATGCATCATATCATAAATGACATACAATACTGACTAGTTTATGAGTAAGACACGTGTTCAACACTAGGATTATTGACGAAATATTTCGCTTACGTTGTAGGCTTCTTCAGTCGAATACAGCGATGAATCACAGTCCTGGAAATATCACTGTTGATGGAAGACAAAGTAGAGGAAGTATAGGGATAATCCGACATCATTAGTCCATTACTGTAGAATTGATGGATTGATTACATCAAACGTTTCGCCAATAAAGATTCCTGTGTTGCAAGCGTGTCTTACTAATGTCAAATTTCATCGCTTTTCGTTTTCATTCTGGACAAAGGTTCCCTAAACCCTTGTTTATTCCCTACTCCCACGACAACGTTTCCTGATCCCACCAGGGAAAATTTTCAGCTAAGGCAAAATTTCCGATTCTTACATCAAATATTTCATTTCACGAATCAGCATCTAACTCCATCCTGTGTTGTTTTACAGGTGGCCCGGATCATCCAGGAGGACAAGCTGCTACCTACGCTGATGGAGACACAGGGTTACACCGCCTTCATCCCCACCAACGACGCCCTCAGAGCCTACCAGGCACCTAAAGACCGCAGGCTTGTTCAGTACCATCTCGGTGAGTCTTTCTTGCTGGTCCTGTCTTCGAAGTTTAGCTCTTTCAGTTTCGGCATCACTCTGGATGATCATCTTTTAATCTTTAAGTATTCACTTATTGTTAGGCCACCGGAGAGATACCTGAAGAATGTTTTCGGCCTGGTCCCAGATTAGGCCTCCTGGTGGATCAATGCTTGACCCACCTGGCTGTTACTGCTGGCCGCACGCAGTCTAACATACGAACCACAGCCCGATCACGAAGGTAAGGAACTTATCAAATTCCTTCTTGAAGACAACCATGGGTCTCTGGAACTTTCCCATTTGTATAATAGGAGGCTGTTGAAAAGTTTTCGGACACTTACACTTGTGTTACCTTGGTGTTTTCATTGCACCGGTGCTTTTCACTGGGGTATTTTGTATTATCTATCAAGCCTCTAGCTTGATACAGTGCAAAATACCCTCTAGGATTTTCTAGGTGTAAATTATAATGCATTTTTTTGCCTGCAGTCCAGGGAATGCAGATCGAGAAACTTCAAACGTTCTCAGTAATTTATGTGCCTTACTGAATATGTAGGTGTAGTGAAGGTTCTCCGTCCTTTTTCTGGGTCTGCAGTACTGCAGCAACATTCCAGCCTAGAGAGAACAAGTGGCTCAAAGAGGACCATCATTGGCTCTGCATCTTTTGTTTTGAAGGTTCTTGATATCTGTTCAGTCATTTCCCTCACGGGTGTAATACCACCTATAATTCTTGGCTGTGAAGTCCTCATGACATACATAATCATTCCTAGGCATTTCACGTTAGTCTTTCGCTCTATTATATAGTTTTGTTCTCAATTCTGGTTTATATTTATTCAAAATTTCCGTAGCAAAAAAACTGAAATTTGTCTTCATATTTTCTGTGGCCCACTGGTAGATTTGTTTTATATTAGTTTGGAGATTTTCTGTGTCTTCCATGGATGACACATGCATATTCTAGTGTCATCTTTAAGACGATATGGTGCTATGATTTATGTCCCTGTTTATGGCGGATATGAGGATGTGGAAAAGGATGTGGAAGGGGGGGGGGGTGATTACTGTGCCTTAAGGAACAGAGTGTGTCACTGTGCTAACCTCTGATTTAATTCTGCTAACTATTACTCTTTGTGTTCTATTTGTTATAAAGTTGAAACCCCATCTGCCCACCTTTCCAGTTATTCATTTTGCACGAATTTTGTGCGCTATTACACTTATCAAAGGCTTTGGTCAAGTCTTCCCATAATACATTTACTTATCGTGTGTTTTTCTGTGCATTCAAGATCTTGTTGTAATGGTCCAGTAGATGCGAAGTGCAGGAGAGATCTGCTTTAAATTCGTGTTGCCCTCGATTGTAAAATTCTAACAAATAAATGTGATTAGCAATCTTGTTTTTTAACGCTTTCAAAGATTTTCATAATATGGAACGTCACTGTTGTTCTATAACTCTTTGATATTATATGGCTGCCACAGTTGTGGAGTAGGACTATATTCATTATTTTAAATTTCTGTGGGATGATCCGTGTGTAGGCTTCCTCTTCATATAAGTGTTCTACGCTGGCGCTGTATATAAGAATATTTGCACATAAATAGTGAAGCGCAAAATATCACAGCAAACCGGTGATATTACAATATGCAAAACAACCATTGTGAAAAAATAGTGGACTTATAAGCCCTTTCGTGATTTCTCACATTATCAAAATCCTTGATAATATGAGAAATCACTAAAGCGCTTGGAAGTTCACTGTTTTTTCACAGTGGTTATTTTGGAAGTAGTGAAGTGTCTCTTGAAAGATTCTTTGCTTAGGGCGTTATAATGTAAGTTATCCTTATGGTGATAGTGTTAAGTCTGTGCACTTTTATAATATTTTGGGGGTAAGCGCTAAGCTCTTAAGGGTCATAAAGACAGCTTACGACAATCATACACGAATTTGTACTTTAAGGTAGCCCCACAAACTTAAGTTGGAAATGTCTTAAGACTGCACATGCCACAAGTTAAAATGTTAGTATATATGCAGAGCAATAGATACCGAGAAGTAGCTACCATCTGCACATTACTGTATAAACAAGTG